TCAGGGATAGTTTGTTACCACATCTTTGCCGATGAGGCCGCTGAGACTTGGCTGAGTCTGAAGTTAAACTCAGATTGATTTGGCTCCCACGCCAGTATTTCCTATGGTACTGTGGGCTGTCCAGTGAGGTAGACCAGAAGGCTCTGGGGTGAAGGCCGCAGGTGGGGAAGATGCTGCCAGTGGAGGAAGATAGAGTTGGAGATGAGCTTGAGTTACCTGTGATGGACTGAGTAGGGCGCCGGGGGCTGCTTTCTGCACAGTCAGGAGGCGGACGCCAGTGACCAGAACTGAGCCTCAGTGGGAAAGTCTAGGGCAGATGAATCAGGAGGCAGAATGAGTTCCTTTGGGAAGGTGGGCCGGGGGAAAGTTTTATTTTCACCCATCTGCAAAGCCCTCAAGCTCACCAGGTCCCTGAAAACCTCTCAGCGGCCCAAACCCCATGCCTGACTCCCTGGCCTCCTTGGGCAAGACGAGCCCAGAATGTGGTCTCCGCCCTGCCACAGGGAGACTCCCACGTGCCATATTGCTCTCAGGATGCTTTCTCTGCTCACGCTAACTGGAGACACGCATGCACACCATTAAGTGAATATGTATTATTGGCTCAGTATGTTTCTCTCTCCCAGACTGGAATGGCATTGCTGGTACCGGTGCTGGAAATATGAAGATGAAGCCACCTTCCCTTAAGCATCTCATTATAGTAGGGAGAACATGAATATGAGGGGACATGATAGGGGTATGTGCCAGATTATGCTGCTTTTTGTTGTTTGCCCCTGAAGAGAGGTAACCGAGCATAGACCTGGAAGGAGATGTTCAAATGGGGCTTTGAGGGATGAACAGGAGCTGTATACCAGACTGAGGAGTCACGGAGCAGGGAAAGCAGCTTAACCGATGCCTGGACACGATGATGGCTTCTGCTCTGGCTGGATCAAGTAGGCAGAGGCCAGTAGGCTGGGCCAGACTGTGGAGGGTTTCATGTGACATCCCAAGACATTGGGGCTGTACCCTGTGGGCAGCTGCCCCCACCAGATTTTAAATTGTTTTCATCAGGAGAGAGACTTAATCTGCTTTGTGTTCTGGAAAGATATTCTTGGGAACAATGAGGAGGCTGGATGAGTCACTTGGGGAAAGGGAGTCCGTATTCCATGTTCAGTAATCTGGACATTTTCAGCAGATGGTGAGAGTTAAGGTTGGGACAAAAAGGCTTTTTCTCAGGGTTCAGATGAGAGAAGATGAGCTGGGGCCTCAGGGGAAAAAAAGAGAGCCTCAAGAATTGCGGGGGAGTGATGTCTGGTTCCCAGGGGGTAAGAAGAGCGGATCACCCACCGCCCAGCCCCCTAGTCCCTGACCTGCCCCCCTTAAAGAAACGAGGACCTCCGCCATTCGTGAATTGCACTAAATCCTGGCTCTAGCCAGTGGGAGGCCCGGGATACTTTTCCCATGTTCACTCTGAATGGCAATTGTGCTTTAAAAAAATTTTCTTTTGGGAACAACACAGGAAGCAGGCCCTGGGCTGGGAAGAGGTGTCCAGGTGGGCAGGAGGGCTCTGCCTGGACAGAAGTCACAACCTTTTTTCCGGGGTTGATGAGAGCCAGCCTGGACGGGGTGTGGTCTGCAAACGCCTCTTGGGCGGGGAATAGTTGGTTTTAAAATGCAGTTAAAGAGACAGTGGAGCGTCCTGAGTAACAGCCGGGACCCTGAGCCAGACCGTGGGTTCAAATCCTAGCCTTGCCACTTCCATACTGTGAACCTGCGGAAATCACTGATCTCTCTGTGCCTCGGTGTTCTCATCTGTAGTATAGGGTGATAACGAGACCCACGTTGCGGATTTGCTGTGAGGAAGAAATGAATTGATACAGCCACAGCATTCACAGCGGCAAGAGCCTTGCCAGAACCACGTCTCCATTTGCTTTTCTAGAGACCCAGGGTGGCATGAGTTCTCAGGAAGTCAACCCACCCGGGTGCGGGCCCAGGGCTCTTCCTTCCCCTTCAGCAAAGGCGCAGCTGCGCCCGAGACACCACCCTTCTCCCCCGACTTCCTTCGGATCCAAGGACCATCTGATGCCCGGACTCGCCCAATGAGGGGGCAGGGGAGGGCCGGCGTGGCATCCCCGCCCCGCCCCGGAGCTCCGCCCACGCATCCGGGGGAGGGAACCTCCCAGCCCAGGCTGCCCAGCTGTACCTGGCCCCCCACCCCCTTCCCAGCTCATCTTTGGCCTGCAACTTCAAAGTGGCTTATTTTTCCCTTTCGCATTTGGATTCCAGGAATATTTAATGGGGCGTGTCAGAGTAAACACTTTTTGGCTGTCTTGCTCTCAAGATTAAACAGGTGCACGGCCTTCTTTAGCCAAACCTGTCAGCTGCAGCAGCTGGGAGTTCCCGGCCCCGTGGGCCCCTGGGGCTGTGCTTTCCTCCTGACTTTGTGGCTCCCCAGATGCTCCTCCCTCTGTTCAGGCCCTCCTGCCCCTCCCCAGCCAGCCTGGCCCCTGCTGGGCAGAGCCATCTCAGCTCTGAGGTAAAAAATGAAAAAATCCTGTTGGCAGGTGACTGTGACTGAATTCACATGACTTCTGGGGGGGGGGGTCTGTGAGGTCCAGTGGCAACCACCCGGGACAGGCACGTGGAGCCATTTAGGTGAGCGGTCCTCCTCTCTCCCCGCTGAGATGGGACACCTCCGACTTCGGGGACTGTCCCCAGCATCTCCTCGGGGACTGGGCACCACCGGGGGCCTTGAAGCAGGGGCCAGGCGGCCCATCTGCTCCATCAAATGTTTTTTTTTTCCTCTGGAAGTTTCCCGGTCACGTTCTCATGTAAACAATATCTTCGGAGAGCCGGCAACCCCCCTGGGGAACCCGGCTAAGCGGTGATGGATGGGCCCGCGGGCGGGGCCCACATCAGTCACACCTCCCGCCCGGCCCCGGCCCCAGCCCCGGCCGTCGGCGCAGCCTGACTTGGACCATTTGTCTCCAAGTACCAGGGGATTTTCAGACAGCTGTGGAGCCAACCGTTTCAAAAGGGAACATAGTTCTGGTCTGCGGTAAGAACAACACACTCCGCCTGTGCTGCAGGATCCCGGCCGGGGGCCGAGCGCCGGGCGTGGCGGCTGCTCCCTCCTCGCGCCCCCCATCCCCCCCGCACCTCTTCCCGCACACCCTCCCGCGTGTGTGCGGGAGCACACTGGAGTCGCCGTGAGCCTCAGCCCCGGGGCACACTCGGTGGAGGACGTGTACCCCGCTGCCCCTGGCCCTGCGACCTCGTTTCTGCCCAACTCCCGGCGGGCGGGGCTTGGAGCCAAAACCTGGGCGGGGAAGGCGGTTTCTCTCCGCAGATGCAAAATCGCTTTCCCTTCTTCCTCCGCCCTCTCTCCGTCCCTGACCCCCTCCTCCCTCCCGCTCATTTCATGCTTTCTCTATGCTCCCCTTCTGGCCCCGGGGAGGCCTTGCTCTGAGGACGGATGAACTCAGGTTGGAGTAGGGACCACAGCCCTTGTTGGGATGGAAAAAGCAAGTCCAGGAAGTCGACAGAGTCGGCTGTCCCTTCAGGGAGGCTGCTTTCCCTTGATTGGCACCTCTTAATACCTCTGAAGCGTTTGCCATTTTTTACCTGTTTTCTCCTTGGGTTGTTATTATTATTAATTGAAATATAGTTGATTTACATTGTGTTAATTTCTGGTGTACAGCATAGTCCTTCATATATATATATATACATACATACATACGTATATGTACACACGCACATATATATATATTCATACATATATATGTAATTCTTTGGTCTGTTCAGGGCTTTCTACCAGGTGACTGGATCCTTCTGTCCCCGGGCGGGGCCGGCTGGCACCGCCCACTGGGAACAAGACCTCCAACCTTGATGCTCACTGGGCAGCATTTTGAAGCCCACCACGGCTGCCCTGATTCCGGGGTTTGGCCCTGAGGAAGTGGCAGGAGCAGCAGGAGCGATCAAAGCCCTTTCTGTCTGGCGGGGCCTCGTCGGCTTCCAGCCCCGGGAGGGTGTCACTGTTGCTGGTGCCAGGTCTGAACAGGCCAGCAGGGAGTCTGAAGACAGAAACTGCAATCTGCTGGTTGTGACACTACGGGATGCTGCTGAGGATGTCGCCAAGATTGTCACCTCACACCTGTCAGAATGGCCATCGTCAAGAAGAACACAAATAACAAAAGCTGGCAAGGCTGTGGAGAAAAGGGAACCTCCTACACTGTTGGTGGGAATGCAAATTGGTGCGGCCACTGTGAGAAACAGTGTGGAGATTCCTCAAAAAACTAAACACAGAACTACCAGATGACCCAGCAATTCCACTCCTGGGTAAATATCCAAAAAATACAAAAACACTAATTTGAAAAGATACATGCAACCAATATTCATAGCAGCACTATTTACAGTTGCCAAGACATGGAAGCAACCTAAGTGTCCATCAACAGAGGAGTGGATAAAGAAGATGTAAACACAGACACACACACACACACACACACACACACACACACACACACACACACACACACACACACACACACAACACACACACACACACACACACACACACACACACACACACACACAGGAATATTACTCAGCCGTAAAAAAAGGAATGAACTTTTGCCATTTGCAGCAACACGGATGGACTGGGAGGGCATTATGCTAAGTGAAATGAGTCAGACACAGAAAGACAAGTACTGTATGATATCACTGATATATGGAATCTAAAAAAATACAGCAGACTAGTGAATAAAACAAAAAGGTAGCAGACTCACTTAGTAGCTGAACAAGTTACTTCCCTTATTTGAGCCTCAGTTGTGTTGTTTTGGTTTTTTTCATCCATAAAAGAGGGATTTTAAAAAGCCTAAGAGGATGATTATGTGGATTAAAGGAAATCATTCATATAAAGCACAGAGCAGTAGTAAGTACAATAAATATTAGCTATTATTATTCATTCATTTAACAAACATCTGTGATATACCGTATGGTCAATGCTGGACATATACAGTCATTTCTGCAGGAAAATCACTCTCTTTATTTAAACACACACGCACACAGTAATTCAGAGGCAGAGCAGGACTGAGGGTCCACCCAGGGACTGGCACACTGCTTCCTCATCCTCTTGAAGACTTCAGGGGGCTGCTTGCACAATTTCTCCTCTCTTCACTCCAATCTATGGCCTCTCCCTCCTTTTGCCTCTGAGCTCCACCTTCTCTGGTTTGGGGTTCCCTTTAAGGCTCCTGCCCCCGGCCACATGTCAGGCTGGGCCCTTCCCAGGACCAAACCCCACCATCCACTCCTTTTCTCTGTCACCGCCTTTGTGCAAATCAGCCTAAAAAAGATGGGTCTCAGCATGATACTTGTCCCTTTTTCCCTCACGTGGGTGCGATGACTTCCGGTTCCCCTCTCTGCTTCTGCTGCTCTCACAGGCGCTAAACGCCCCCCATCCAGTGGTGGCGGGAGTGGCTCACCTGTGGCTGCTTTGCCCTCATCTTCCGTGGGCCGTGTGCAGGGCCCAGTCATCAGATGAGCAGATAACTGGAGCAGCCCCCCTTGGAGCAGGGCCCCGGGGGGTCTCTTTCTGAGTGACTCCCTGGGGTGCTCTGTGCCTCCTGCAGACCCTCTTCACCTTGACAGTGTTTCTGTAAGCGCCATCCCTCTCTGCCCCACCAGGTCCCTCTGTGGACTTTACTCCTAGACCGGCCTTAGCCACAGTTTCACCCTGACCCAAAAAGAGCTGTTTTCCCTGAAGAACCCAATAGATGGACTCACTTGAAACTGCAGCTGGAGGGAGCTGAGTCAGCCATCGGAAAGAACCTTCTTCCTTGAGGCTTGGAGAAACAGGATCTTTTTAAGAGAGCTCCAGGGAAAGGGGAGAAGGTGGAACTCTTTCGAGACCTGTCAGAGACTTGAACGTCCTCCCCCGACCCCTCCCCAGTCTAAGGAGAGTTCTTAGTGCTGGAAGAGACCTAGCAGTCATCCAGGTTGACTGACAACTTGGGGATACCTTCTCTGAGCACGAATCCTCCTTAATGGTTCATTATTCATTCCCTCACTCATTTCACAGTAGCTGCGACTCACGGCATCATGTTACCAGATCTTCGCTGTCCCAGGCACCGTGTGGGTATAGGTGACAACAGCAAGGTAGGGTCCCACTATCCAGGAGGAAAGAGAAGAAAGTTGTATACACACGGTCTCCAGACTGTCAAGTTAATAAAAGCAATAAACATCCTTGGTGGTTTGGGGGAATATTCTGCAAGAAAGTCTGCGTGTGAGCGGACATGATGTCTTCCGACAGCGGCAATGAAAGGAAGCAGCACGATCCCAGCAATAAAGGACCCTGTCACGTGCGCGTCCTGGTGCGCGTGCCCCGCGCCGCAGAGGACCTGAGACCCCGGGTTAGACTCGGCAAGTAACGCAGGGTCCCTGAGAATTTCAGGCTGTCATGGCCCTTGGACCCTCTGCACAGCAAGACGTGCAGAGCCTGCCTGCCCCACTTGACATTCAAGTCTCCCCCAACTGGCCCCAACTTAATCTTCTCCTGAGAGGCTGCATTAGACCTTTGGAGGACCTGCGCACTGGCATGCTTGTGGTGTCCGCCTCCACCCCCCACAGACGTGAATATTTAACATTGTCCAACTATCTTCTGACGTTTCCCATAATGTCTTTTGATGCTGTTTTAAAAAAAATATCAAATAATAAATTCTTAAACAAAAATCGTTGGTGTCCTTGCTGCGCTGATGGTCCGGAAACATGCTCAGTTGGAGAGCAGGTAGCCAAGTGTTTTCCACTGTGTCCCCACCAGAACCCTCCATTCAGTCCGGTCTCATCCCGACCCCCGGCTCAGGACTTTGCAGGCTCTTGGACTTCCTCCCCATCAAGCATCTCTCTCTCTCTTTCTTCTCTGGATCCACAATTCTTACTCTTCATCCAAGGCTCCAGCTCCACTCCCAGGCCAGCAGCACCACCAGACCGTCCCCGAGCCGAGGAAATCTGCATTTATTATTCCCACACTGGGACAGCCTTCCTGCCTCAGATTCCCCGTGGAAAGCGTTGTCTGCATCACTTCATAACATACCACTTTGTGACATATCTCACACTCTTGCTTCGTGCTTATAATTAATTTTTCAAGTGCTCCTGTGATGTTTTCATAATGAGCCTATGAGACTGAGGGCGGGACTGAGGTCTTCATTTCTGTCTGACACTGCTAGGAAGAGACACAGCACTCACATCTCAAAGATGCTCATTCCTTGGGTCGGCACTTCCCAATGTGAGGAAGAAAGAGACTCACGTCAGCAGCAGGAATTCTCTGAAATGCTGAAAAGTACATTTCACTTGGGAAACGTTGCACTAAAAGTTGGTGATCACTTGGTGCCAATGGGCCGGTCAACTGAAACACACCATCAAACACTGATTAACAAGAAAGTGAGAATACAAACTTAAATGCCACTAAAATGCTTAGATCCTCAATAATAAATCCCCACCCTCCTCTTCTACCCGATCCCTGCTCCCCCGCCATTCCCTCCCACTATAATCCACGTTCAAGAGTATTATCAAAATAGCAAAATAACTCACCCATTACCACCTTAATTTCAACATTTCGCTAGATGAGTCAGCTCTCGCTCTGACAGTGCCCCAGGAGAGCTCTGGGCACAGGCCAGCTTTATTTTTATGGGGTGAAAGGTGGGTCAGAAAAGTCTACCTCTGGGTTCTTAGTATCTTTCGATTCTGGTACGACTTCTGCAGGTCAAGCGTCTCTGTGTTAGAACAAGAAGAACCAGGAGGAAAACCATCAAGAGAAGTGCAAGTTTCCAGGCAAGGTGGTGGCTGACATCAGATGCTGCAGACAGCCTCATGGAGGCTGGCAAGGAGACCCAGTCTGCTGTGTTCTCGGGGAAAGAGGGGAGGGGAGAGGGAGCCCGACCTCACAGTCCATGGGGTAGGAAAGGGGAGGGGAGGAAATGAAGGTGGCTCGAGGAGGGGAGGGGCAGAAGCTTGAGGAGGGACAGAGATGAAAAAACCTTTGTTTGTTTAGTTTTTGGCTAGGGAGATGGGCAAATTTGTAACTGAAATGACTGAAGATTCAAGTGAAGTAGGGCAGGTAATAAAACCAGGATGGCCAGGGTGGGGATTGAACTGAGGAGGAATTGGCCAGAGCCAGGAGGAGGGAAACTTACTTTTCCCTCTGAGAAGCAAGCAAATATTGGTATTCTAACACATTACATAAGGTGCCTTTGATTGTAAGTGAAAACAATTTAAATTATTGAATATAATGTTAAAAAAAAAGAGCATGGTTGGGCCTCAGGATCTTCCAGAATGTTCCAGAATGTTCCAGACTCTCTCTACATTGCTCTCGGGTCCTCTCCACATCTGCCTTATTCTTCCCTCAGTCCCTGCTGGTCCCTGGCTCCTTCAGTCTACAGCTGTAGCTACAAGAGAGAAATTGGTCTGACCCTCTTGGCCCCAAAGCCAAAGTTCTATGGAAGGTTTCTCACTGGTCCGTCTTGAGTCTATTGGAGCCCAACCAGGGTCAACAGATTGTGGTGAGGCTGTGGGAGGCCGTAGGTAAGTACAGGGCCCCTGTGGGGACCATGCAGATGGAGAGGGAGGAGGGGCAGTCTTCACTGAAGAGGGGTCTCCGTGGATCCATGCAGTTCGGAGGTGGAGGGGTGTTCAGAAAGTCTGACAGTTTCACATCTCAAGTTTGTTTTGTTTTTGTCTTTTGTTCTCAGGGAAGTTAGAGCCTCTGCCAAGAATTAGGGGGCAAATGGAGATTCAGGCTACAGAAGGTTTGGAACGCGACCATGTGAAATGCACAAGCCAACAAAACAACAGTGCAGAGTCGAGCAGCAGTCGAGGGTAGAAAGCGTAACTGTGCGATGAGGTCAACCCAGATTTATTCACTTAACGAACATTATTGATGACAATCTATGATCTCCCAGCAACAGGACGCAGCACCAATAAACAAATCGGTGGGAACAACCAAAACCAAACCCAGATGGCTGGTCTGATCCAGTGCTGGAGAGTGGAAATATGGGTGCTTCAGGTGCATGGGGCAAAGCAGCAGAGGGGCAAGGACTGAGGCAGGTGGAACCCGGTGCACAGAAGAGGGGACACAGGGAAGTCATCAGGGAGGACCCGACACCATCCTGTCTCAGGGGTGCCTCTGGTCATGGCCCTTCCCCTGGCGATGACCCCTGGGATAGGCGAACACCTTCTGGCTTGCTCAGGGGAGCTCCGTGTAAGTACACGTAGTACCTCTTTTCATCACTGAGAGGTCCCGACGCGGATGCTGGCTCACTTGGGCAGCCCATACTTGGCAGGGCTGAAGCGACTGGGGAAAACGGCCCCCCGGGGATGCCGCTTCTTTGTGTATGGCCCCCAGGCCTGGTGATCTGGAAAGAGTAAACCCTTGCTCTCAGTCTGCCTCCTCCTCTCCACCCCACCCAGGGAAATACAGAAGTTTCTAGTGCCTGCAGTTATGAGGTCTAAAGAGAATGGATCAGAGAAGGAAACACAGCTACCCTGGCCTGGCCCGAGGCTCCTAGGAGGGAGAGGCCACATCAGCGGAGGCTGGAGGAAACGGCTCCATTCCTTGTGGGCAGCAGGCTTGGAAATACTGCTGGTACCCCAACTGGACGCCCCAAGGCCATCTGATACACCCGGGGCGCCTCCCTGCAGGAAGTCCCAGGAACCACATACAGTTTCTGACCACCCACTTCAACGTTTCTTGGCATGAAAAAGACAAGGGCCTTGCAAAAAAATTATCCTTGTTTCAGCCACAGTGGAGACCCGTAACGTCTGGCCCAAAGTAGACGTTCAATATGTACTCACGTGACTGAATGGACATCCTCTCCAGAACAGACTGGAGCTGTCCTATCTCAGAGCCGCCTCCGGTGGCGGCCTTGGGCTTGGTTTGCAGACCCAAATGTACAGCAGTACGTCCCTGGAGATGGGGCAAGTGAGGGTAGGGGGAGGGGCAGGCTGGCAGGAGTGGAAGTGGGCAGGGCTTTTCCCGACCCCAGCTGGTGATCAGCTTATCCCCTTGAGCAGAAGGATTAATACCCAGGGTAATTTTATCCCTGTTAGAATGAAACTACAGATGTGGGCTTATTGGGCGAAACAGCTAATCCTTTCTACATTTGGCTCATTCGTGAAATACGATGCCCGGGGTCGTCAAAAGCACCATTTGCACATGGGCTTGCAGCTGGGTGCCGCCCTTCTCCTCTGGGCTGCGTGGGCAGCTGTCCGATCCTAGCTGTGCTCTTGCCTCTTGGGTGAACCGACTTCTCACCGGCCTGGTGACGGAGGGGAAGGGAAGGGGCCTGTGTGTGTGGCCCAGGTGGCAGTGAGGGTGTAGCTGAAGGAAAATGTGTAGGAGTGGGTGCGCAGAGAAGCCAGAGGTAGGGGAAAAACTCTTGGAAAAATCTAAACTTCCTTGCGACCACAAGTTCCTGAGGCTTGAGGGATGGGGAGGCAGCAGAAGGAGGACAGAAGGCGGAGGAAAGGGGGTGCCCCAGATGGGGGCCAGTGGGCACCCAGGAGTTTACAGCCTGGTAATGGATGGAGGCTCCAAAGCCAGGAGACAATCAAAGAGCTGCTGCTGCCGGAGCAGAGATGAAAGGGTTTCCAGGCCAGTCGGTGATATGCTTGGAGCTTTCCCCAGGGCAGCCACCTGGGGCGGGTAACAGGAGCCGCGGTTCCTCGGTTCGTCCGAGCGCTGGGGTCTGCGAGTCGGAGTCCGGGGCTGCG